AGAGAGAGAGAGAGAGAGAGAGAGAGAGAGAGAGAGAGAGAGAGAAATAAAACCTACTTTGGAGAACCCCACTGTCGCTTTCCCCTCCCCCGTTGCCCTGACATTTTCAAGACTTTCTACTTCTACCGGAGTTCACCGACCCCTCCTTCGATCCGCGATCGCGAAGCGCACGTTCGTGTCGTGAACCGATCGTGACATTTTCAACGATTAATCGAATTCATCTCCGCTTTGTCCCCATGCGAAATGTCACATTCAATTCCGCTTTGAAGTCCATCTTCGATCACGCCAATTGATCCTAATATCTACTACAACGTTTATTATCATCTACGGAAATTTTCATTAAAGATTTTCGAAAGCTTCAACGCATAAGTTATTTAAAAATTAGGACGACCTTTATCCGAGAATCCTTACTACTGAATTCTGCAACATAATTTATACAATTTCTAAAAAATTGTATTATTATTAAACGTCGTGACTGTCACGCGAAGAAGCTATAAATTGAATTTAATAGAAAGTGAATGGTGTGACTCATTCGTGACGCAAAAAATGAGCATTATTAATCAGTAAATCATATTTCTGTCCGCAGGGACGCAGGTCAGAGCGCAAGATGATGAAGGCGGCGACGGACTTGACGCGAACGCCGAGGAACTTTGTCAGGACAGGCCGGGCGACGAATACTTTCGCTTGAGCGTTGAAGGAGACTGTCGTGATGTCGTGAGGTAAGTCGCGCCGTATTATTTCATCCGCGAATACAGGATCGGATCGAGCCAGTTCAGTGCAGCACCGTCCCCAAGCAGAATATTACATAAACTTATACTATTTCACGCAAAAAGTAATAAAAAATTCAAGCACCGGTTTTCCAAGAACTTGAAGAACACCGGCAAGTTGTCTCCGCGCTTTACATGATTATAATTATATCGTTTTATGTAATGCGTTTAATTTACAGCGACCGCGGGTGAATGGAATCGCGTAAGGTGAATCGGGTTTTTAATATAAAAAAAGCTAGCTCGCTGACTCACTTCCGCCTGTACCTCGACTTATATCACTGACTCTACCGGTCGCCAGGAAGCAGACTTGTCAGACTCAATCACTATGTACTTTCCCCGGATCGCGCCGGTTCTAATCTTGCTAATTTAATCCTATTCGCCCACTTTTATTCACATATATATTCAAGAAAACTTTGCTTAAAATTGCCCGTTAAAAGAACGCAGGAACCGAGGTACGCATGCGACATTTTGGTTAGCTCTCGTTCGGCACCATGACAGAGAATGTATAAGCTCCAAGGGCACCCGGTTTTGATAGAACGCATAATAAATATCCCGGAATGCAGATGACGTCGATGACAATAGGTCATCGGTTGGTAAAAATAACGTCAATCGTTATTCATTGATCCAGGATGTGACTGATCAAGAATGCTTCGATCAAATTTTCCAGGACTCAAGGCGATCTAGTAGATGCAGCCCCGAGACCAGTTTAACATTTCCCTTGCCATTTGATATTTTTTATAGTCGACACGAATAAGCTTTCCTTTATCGCATTCCTAATACAGCAATCATCGTGCCTTCGTTTATTCAACGAGTTTCGTTCACGCGAGTACGACCGGCAAAACCTAAAATCACGTCAGCGGAATACAATAGAAGCGCATAAACTCTATATTACTCATATTACGTCGCGACAATGGCTCAACGCGTAACGCCCGTTTATAATATGTCGATGCACATATACTTGCTTGTTGTAAACGTATTGTTTCATCTCTATTGTATTTCGCGCTTAATTATTTTGCGAATCGAAGGGAAATTCGAAATTACTGCTCACGTTCGAAGCTACACTGCAAGGTGCGTGCGAAAAGATTTTCGATATGAAAATGATCTTAGGTGCGACAAAGCCACCGAGATCGGGGTGACCAGGCTGGCGACGGTGCGGTGCCCCACGGGTCTCGCGTTCGACATCGAGCGGCAGACCTGCGACTGGAAGACGAACGTGAAGAACTGCGATCAGCTCGAGAGTAAGCGAACGTCACGTCTTTTTCCCTAGTTTAGACTCACGCAGGCACCCTTTGTTTTCTGTCCCGGCTCCGGCAGGTGTACAAGGTCCGGCCTGAAGCAAATCACGTGTCCCAGCGGACTGGCCTTTGACGTGGACAAACAGACCTGCGACTGGAAGGGCAAAGTCACCAACTGTGACAAGCTCGAGAGTAAGTCGGAGAATCGGCGATGGCGGCCGGCCAATCTCGCCGGTCAGATCGCCGATTCCCCTCGTAGACTCGCAACGTAGCACGCACCGTTCGTATCATTAGCAACTAACGCATGATACCGTTTTCACGCACCTAAACGCAGTCTCGCATCCACGATGCGGAGCGACCCTGAACGTCTCTGAACGCTCATCGAGAGGTATCGAATAAAGGATGAAAATAGAGATACCGTTTTTGGAAATAAAATTTTCTCAAATTGCTCGAAAGTCTTCACGATCGATCACGATTTTGTTCCGATAACGCCGTTACCCAATTACGAGCAAGAAGTCGCTTCTTTTAATCGCGATACGAGACATTGCGCAACCGTTTTTTCGTTACGTAAGCAACGTGGCTCGAAAAAGCCAGCTATGCGAAACTTTCCAACGACGCGCGAATGCCATTAAACCGGAAAGCGCGCATTAACACGACGACGGGATTCGACGGACGGGATTCGACGCGAGATTGATCGCGAGTGAGGAAACAAGGGGGGAAATTTGTACTTTCAGAGCGGAGAGCGATTAACGATCGAAAATGCCCGGGTCCCCGATACTTTCGAGAGACGTTTCACGCCCGACGCGCCGCGGGGATTTCTCGCCCGACCACTTTCGTCCTGAAGCTCGAGGCGAGTCTCGATGGGGGATTGGTTTCGATTTTCAGCGAAAGTATCGGGGCCCAGCGGGGGCTCCATTCTATGCCTCATCGTTTCGAGCGAAACGAAAACGTTTCAGAGACGCGATGGTCGTGAAAACATCGAGCGGCTAACCCGGTTTCGAATCCTCGAAACTATCTCCCTGTAATATTTTTCTCATGCAATTTCCACGACTCACCGCGCATATGACTAACAAAACTGCACTTTCCAATGGAGTTGGACGAAGAGACCAGTGTTCTCGATTCCGTTCCGGTTTAATAGTCCACCGTCCTCGTTTCAACTATTTAGAAGATGGTTATTAAATATTTTATACGGGCATCAGTTAACTTTTCTTTTTTTTTTATAATCACGTTGAGAATTCCTTCTGCTGAAGAATCTCTCTTTTCACGGAAGGCAATTTCAACTCACGCTAATTCTCTCTCGCCGCAATTGAGTTAACCGAACGTTTAATGTGATATTTGATTCTTGCGGTTTCGTCCAATTTTTTACTGGACTTGCTGTCAGCTTAACGTCGGTCTGTCATCAAATCGTTAACACTATGTTGCGTGCCGGTGCGCACGCGGAAGACTATTACGCTTCCGCGTTACGACACTGTTCCCTTGTGAGCGGCGATAACCGGTAGCAAAAATATTTATCTCGCGCGAACGTATATTAGACATATCTCGTTTAACGACCGCAGAGGCATTTACTTTTGAGTGACAGCGTTCGAAGTTGGTTACTGAGTAAGCGGATCTCGCGCTAAGTGATTTCCGCCGTAAGAGATCACGGGAGGAGGAAGAGAGGAGAGCAACGTTTGCGCAAAGACGTGCATAAAGTCACATGTTGCAATTCGCGCATTGATAATCTCTCCACTTCGGGGATAATCACGATTTTTGCCACCGGTGTTTCAAAACGTAATTGCATTTAACGCACCGCTGCGTTCGATTCTTATTCCACTGAGTACGAACTTTGTGTTTAGATAAATTAATTCTGATACCTCGAGCGGCCATCAGATAAACTTTAAAAGTATTAGAACATAATCGCGGTATTTATTTCGCATCGTACGTTACCGCCAACGATGCAAATTTCAAATGTCACGAGTCTTTCTCTGCAGTTTTAAATACGAGTCAACAAATTGGCACGCAATAATTTTCTAACATTTAGCGATCTCCCTTCTCTCCCTAATTCGCTCCAGGTACGAGGTTTCACATATTCGTTCGCCGATCTTTCTCTCTACATCCAGATCGGTTTCGCTTCGGCGATCTGGCCTCCTTTACAGGAGTAGCTCCTCGCTACTCGGTCAGTCGTCTGACCGGCTTGCTTTTACTACTGAAGTCTCGCGCGCGATCAGTCCGATCGTTAATCTCATTGAGAGAGATAGAGACTCCTCTTTCGCCAGTAATTCTCGTCTCTCACGAGCGTCAGACGGCGAGAAATGGTAACGCGACTTTTTCACGTCCATTTTCTGTAATTTCAATGTCTGTCGCAGCTGTCGATCGGTAAACAAGATTTCGCATACTTTCTTTTGATCACAATTACGGTATATAATTAAGCTACAAGGTGTAGGAAACAAGAATCATCGATTTCCAAGCGACAGAAGAATCCACATGGAGAGTTTTAACAAATTGAATCTTCACGAATGCGAGTTAATAACAAAAAGAGATGACGTTATTTTCATTTCACGTTTCATCAATTAATTCTGAAAATCGCGATATCATCAAACACGCCAAATTCCTCCATGCCCACGCTGCTTTATACTCTAATTTCATTTTGCAATAGTTATTCTCGCTCCTCTAGTTTCGCTCGCACCACATCACATTTCCAAAGCTCATTTTTTATCTCTCTCTTTCTTTCTCTCTGCCTCTCTCATTCTCTCATACACACGAATAACGGCTTGCGTGCATCGCTGCCAGTCAACGAGGCAGACAAATGCCGAGTCAAAGTTTATCTTTTAGAGTCGCCGTCGAGCGAAAGATAAACAGTCTTCCTGCGAAAACCGGTAAAGAGGTTGCAGGACGAGCCGTATACATTTTACCCTTTTGTGGATAATGAAATGAGAAGCTTTGAGAAGCGTTGACTGACCGACAAAATGTGCACTTTGTAGTGGACGGCAAATGTAAAAAAAAAAAGAACTGGAGGACGAAAATAAAAGGGAAACCAAACGAGACGAGACGAAAGCCATTCCGACGGAGGATCAAAATAAGAAAAAAGAAACTTGGAGGGCAGTGGCGTAGGAACGAGCACGTCCGTCAAGGCGTTCTCTTCTCCGAAAGAATTGCGAGAGCTCGAAATCCTTGAGTTATCTGTATATATACATTATGTGTATATACTCCGCCACCACGCGTTAAAAAAGTACACAGAGTAGAGATTTAATATGTTACTGTGTTCGCTAGGGTGGACAAGGTATAGGCTGCGGAAATTGGGTGGCACGAATTAATTCAGCACGACCTCCCCCCAGCTTAACAGTTTTATCTTGCATCTTCGTATTTTCGCCAAGTCTATTATGTAGAACGACACACGGTTCCTACGCTGCTGCGTGTAAATAAACGGGGAACAGTCGCATTCGGGCCTTGATTACACCTGTAGCTGGTCAAGTGAATTACTTAGAGCACCAACAACAGTTAGAATTTCATATTCAGTAGATAGCCATAAAGTGCCTGTTACAAAATCTTAATTAACTTGATTATACCTTGATTATATCTATAGTTCTCCACGTGAATTACGTGGAGCATGATAACAATTTCATACAATATTCGGTAACCTGCCTTAAACCATTTATTACGAGATCTTTCATCTATTTTGGTATAATTAATAATATCGATTTAGTTTGAATCAATACTTAATAAAGAAAATAGCGCTCTGATGAACGGTAATTAATTGATATACGTTATGGTCGATTGATTGAAAGCGCAATAAGTGTATTATGTACTGGACATTCTATGGTTATTCTATTGATATTCGATGGATTCCTATACACCTGCTCGATATTTTGGATGGTAGTCAATTTGTGGACGAGCGTCTAACGGAGATTGCGTTTTACAGAGCCGCGTAAGGTCTTGCCCATCCTCAAGACCGACGAACCCATTTGCCCGGAGGGGAAATTGTCGTGCGGTAACGGCGAATGCGTCGACAAGGAACTCTTCTGTAATGGCAAGCCCGACTGCAAGGACGAGTCCGACGAGAACGCCTGCAGTAAGTGTTGCAACGTACAATACTGCGTTCGCCTACTGTGATCGTGTAATGTTAACGCGAGCCAATCCCACATTTGGATTACAATCATGTTGCGCAATAGAATCGGCGTCGAGTAATTATTAAGCTATTAAAGTGGATGTATATAATGATGTCTTTAATAACTTCGGTATCAAAAGACGGCTCGACACGTGTATAATGGCGCTTTAAGTTAAATTCTTCTTAAGTAAAAAAATTATTTTAATATTCTTAATCAATACATGTTATTGAAAAAAACATTCGTGTTACAGCCGTGGAGACCGATCCCAATCGCGCACCGGATTGCGATCCCACGCAATGCGTCCTGCCCGATTGCTACTGTTCGGCCGATGGCACCCGTATACCCGGCAACATCGATCCCCAGCAAGTGCCGCAGATGATCACGATCACTTTCAACGGCGCCGTGAACGTGGACAATATCGATCTCTACGAGGAGATCTTCAACGGGCAACGACAGAACCCGAACGGCTGCCAGATTCGCGGTACATTCTTCGTTTCTCATAAGTACACCAACTATTCGGCGGTGCAGGATCTTCATCGACGCGGTCACGAGATCTCGGTGTTCTCGTTAACGCACAAGGAGGACCCGCAATATTGGAGCCAGGGTACATACGACGACTGGCTGGCGGAGATGGCCGGCGCCAGGCTGATTATCGAGCGTTTCGCCAATATCACCGATGGCTCCATCATCGGCGTGCGAGCGCCCTACCTCAGGGTCGGCGGTAACAAGCAGTTCGAGATGATGGCCGATCAGTTCTTCGTGTACGACGCCTCCATCACCGCGTCTCTGGGACGCGTGCCAATTTGGCCGTACACATTGTACTTCAGGATGCCGCACAAGTGCAACGGCAACGGCGGTAATTGCCCGTCGAGGTCGCATCCAGTCTGGGAGATGGTGATGAACGAGCTTGACCGCAGGGACGACCCCACTTTCGACGAGTCCCTGCCGGGATGTCACATGGTCGACTCCTGCTCCAACATCCAGACCGGCGAGCAATTCGCTCGTCTGCTCCGACACAACTTCAACAGGCATTTCAACACCAACCGAGCGCCACTCGGTCTTCACTTCCACGCGTCCTGGCTGAAGAGCAAGAAGGAGTATAAGGATGAACTGATCAAGTTTATTGAGGAGATGATCGCCAGGAGCGACGTGTACTTCGTTACTATGGTTCAGGTGAGAGATCGAGCTTGCATTATTGACAATCATTGATGCATTCGTTATGCGTTAAAAATCCAAAGTTTCACATCTCGTTTCTCTTCAAGGTGATTAAGTGGATGCAGCAGCCCACTGAGCTGTCCGCGCTTAGAGATTTCCAGGACTGGAAGGAGACCTGTGACGAAAAGGGTCTACCTTACTGCTCGTTGCCCAACGCCTGCCCTCTGACGACCAGAGAGCTGCCCGGCGAGACCCTGCGTCTCTTCACCTGCATGGAGTGCCCCAACAACTATCCGTGGCTGCTGGATCCGACCGGCGACGGCTTCTCCGCGAGAAAGTGATCTTATCATCCGCGAGACGAGCAACGCGCCGACGCGTCGACCGGCCGTGCGATCCGGTTATCAAAGATCGATCGTTTTTCCGGCAAGTCCAAAAATCCACGTCGGATAAAAATGTGGTAATCGACCACGGCGCGAAACGAGGGCGCAGCTCTGAAAGACATGGAGAAAGCAATCGGGCGACGGACGCGTTGAGGCGCGAGATTTCGGCGTGGAGATCCCGGAATCGTTTTATCACACAATTAAAAAGCGGTCACACGCTTGAAGATCGAGCCGCAATACTAATGTTAAAGTGGAGCAAAGCGCGTCTCTGCTTTCGCGAGGGAAAACGCACCACGCCCGGTTTCTCTTCCGCGCCTATAACTATTATTATTATTTATGTAAATTAGAATCGGTAAAATCGCACATCGCCGCATGCGGTCGCGAGGATGGTCGCGTATCGATTTCTCGTAGGAAATGCCATCGCGTACGATCGCCGACGAAAACTCGCGGGAAAAAGCTCTTCTCTTTTCTATCCGTGTGACGAGAGCGGTGAGCTACAGTCTTAAGATGCGACTCTTGAAAATCGATGCTCGACGAGAACGAGACAATCCCGCAGACATCCTACTTGTACATACCACCGGATCCTTGCCCCCTCCCCCTTCAATTCTCGTTCTTGTTGTTTTCTGGAGAGTTATATACGATAACAGAACCTCGCGACCGGTGAAGCGAAAGACGAAAAACTAAATGTACCATCCCGTGCCTCTCTAAACATGTACTCCTTAGAATTTAAGCAACGCGCGACATTCTATAAGTACATAATTTTTAGTCCTTATAATTTCTCCGAATAAAAACTGTACGTACAAAAATAATATGTGGGTATTATATACTGACTGTCCCGCAATCATACAATATATTTTATATATATAATCGCTATAATATAATAATAATTATATCAAAAGATCTCATAATAAAGATTATAATACTGATGTGATGCTTTATAGTAAAAAAAATTAAATAATGTATAATAACATATTTACAAGTTTAAGCCCGTAATTGAATGTTTAAATCTAAATATCTACTATAAAAATCTTTAAAGATTGATTTCTGCATCATATTATACAACATTTAATTCTGTAACTTCTGCAAGAATGTACAAATTAATTCTAATTTTTGCATTTTAAGAAATTAGTTTTAACTTCTGCATGTTAAGAAATTGGTTTTATCTTTGATTTAGCCGTCGTATATTCTTGCGAGATGCAACATTTCCCTTTCAGGATATTATTAAGCATTTTCACCACGACAAGGTCATCATAGAAGGGACTTATTAAAATTAAGTAAAAGGGGCTTACATTGTCTAAAAAAAAAAAAAAAATAAATAAATAAAAAGTTCATCGCTGCTACGAAATATTTAATATATTAAGATAATTATCAAATTTATTTTTATTTACTCATTTTCTTAAATATCATGCTGTTTCTTTATTAATATTTACTAGCACTTTTTCTGGTAAATAATATTTACTAACAATTAATATTTTTAAGCAACAACGCTATTTTTGCTGAACAAAAACACCCAAAAAGAGTATTCTATTTACAAAGTGAAATTCTTGTAATCTCATATTCTAAGCAAAAACTTTTACAGAAAGAGTATTCCTCTGGTCAATAAAGTGGACTATTCATCAAAACTCTATTACATATTATTCTAACGGTTTTCCTCTTGTATTAAGAGGAATATGTTTACTTGTAACGGAATATAATCTGTATACAAGAAAAAAATGATATTAAGAAGAGCCTGAAGAGCAAGATTGTAGATGCAAAAAATTTCTCTAATTGTAAAAATATTGTGCTTAGAATATTTTCCTCTTGATTTTAGAGGATTCCTCTTGAGGCCATATATAAGAATAAAATTTAAGATTTAGAAGATTCTGCTAAAACTAAGATTTTTTTGGTAAATATATAGCTTGACAGCCTTTATATTTTTAATACACTTTCTTAGGCACTTATTTCTAATATTTTTGGTTATAGTAGTTTTTTATACCTTATAATTCAGTATTTTATTTCCTGCCTTACTGTACTACATAGGCTAGATTCGGGGAGCGCACTATTAGCGCTATTTGCTTATTCTATCCTTGTTTTACACCTGATGAGCGATAAAGATAGAACGATGCAATCGCGCTCCCCGAACGCAGCCAATATTATATTCTTTATTATATTTTATATTATTTCAATAATTGGATTGACTAACTTCGTTTAATAATCTACGATTTATTAAATCTAATTTTAAATTTTAAATTTTATTTTTTAATTCTTAATTTAAAATTAAAAATAAAAAAATTTTTTACTTTTTAAATTTTTAAATTTGTTTTAATTTCTCAAAATTATACTCTGCCATATTATTTATTTTTTAATTTATCTGTTCTTAAAGTATAAACAAAAGTGATTTGTACACATAAAATTCTTAAAATATAGAAACATTTTCATATCTTTTAAAGAAGCCGCTACTTTCTACAATAAGTAATAACAATAATTTAGTAATCAACTTTACTGTGCACGTGCCAGCTATTTATTTAAGATACCGGATTTTTGCTTTTACATACGTACATATATAAATATGCGCGTTAAATTCTGCTAACAGCACCATGACTAGCAGTTGCATACAATTTTCGGACATAGTTGGATTCGTAGTTATTGAAGCGTGATTATTTCAATTTCAATATATACAATATGCATATATTCTTGGAAGTAATTCTCACGAAAACTATTGCAAGTGATTCGTGAATAGGCTCGTAACTGTATAGACAAAATTATGTTTAAAGAAATCAAGAATCGAAAACGTGTAAAAAATACTTTGTTACAATACAATTTTTTACAAATCTGATGTAAAAAAATGTATCAAAATGAGATCAAGGTTGCTGGAGGTGATACGGCAAAAACATGGCGACATTTCTTACTTTGAGGATACGTATGTCGATGTCGATCGTGGATGATAGTGATGGAAAGGAGTGTATAGTTGGATGTAACGATGTTATGTGGAGGATGCGTCTCCAAAAATATCATGCAACTCTTTACGAGTCGCGATGGTGCCACTTCAGTCGGCGCGGTCGAGCGCTCGCGAGAAAACGTGGTTAATTACTGGGGTGCCATCCCGGTAAGGGCACACGTGGCCACCATATTAAAACCAAAAAAAATCTAATTGACAAATAATATAATTTTCTGTAATAATATTGTTCTAATAATCACATTTCATTGTTGGAGAAATTCATTCAGCTCAATTTTATATAATGTTTCATTTTTTATATAACGCTTATGCACTTATTATGTATTTAAAATTTATTTAACTTTTTGCAAATTTATTTTTTAAAGTACATTTTATATATGTTAATTATTGGAGAAAATTTTATTATACATCGGAACAGTTAAATGGTATTAATGAAAGCATCTCATATAAAATGTAAAAAACCCCTTTTAATT